AGCTTGTCAAGCTTACTTATTGTGGCACGGAGATCAGATGAGTGTAGTGATTGAGACAGCCATTGAGTCAACATCCGCTGGTCGGATATTGGCCTGACTGTAATCTGGCCCCGGGATGTTGTGGTCTAAGCTTAGGAAATCAACTATCTAACAGCTTGTCAAGCTTACTTATTGTGGCACGGAGATCAGATGAGTGTAGTGATTGAGACAGCCATTGAGTCAACATCCGCTGGTCGGATATTGGCCTGACTGTAATCTGGCCCCGGGATGTTGTGGTCTAAGCTTAGGAAATCAACTATCTAACAGCTTGTCAAGCTTACTTATTGTGGCACGGAGATCAGATGAGTGTAGTGATTGAGACAGTTATTGAGTCAACATCCACTGGTCGGATATTGGCCTGACTGTAATCTGGCCCCGGGATGTTGTGGTCTAAGCTTAGGAAATCAACTATCTAACAGCTTGTCAAGCTTACTTATTGTGGCACGGAGATCAGATGAGTGTAGTGATTGAGACAGCCATTGAGTCAACATCCGCTGGTCGGATATTGGCCCTACTGTAATTTGGCCCCGGGATGTTGTGGTCTAAGCTTAGGAAATCAACTATCTAACAGCTTGTCAAGCTTACTTATTATTTACCAAACTCCGTATGAAACATAATCCATAAAATTCTGTTCTGTAGTGGTGTTTTTGTAATATAATTTTTCTGTTTACGATGCGTACAATCTGTTTAGATTAGATAAATGAAAATATATAAATGGAATTTAAGAAATAATTTGGTATATAGAATATAATATATTTTTATGATCGAACATATCCGCTTCGTTGTCAATTTAAAATCACAAAATGTAAAGTAAAGTTAGAACATTATTGAGGCCAATGTGTTTATGGTACAGTATTTGATATGCAAATCATGGATAAAGGCGATAAAAGTGTAATTTCGCATGAATAATGTCCATATTCCAAGTTTTGATGTAAATCTCAATCGGAGCGAAAACATGTAGACCATTTAGGCATTTAGGCCACAATAGAAAGATGATGAGCTGTTTTACATTATGATTTATTTTTACGTTGTTTTTAAATACAGAATTAATTAGTACAACCAATTTTTTGTTTTAGTACATTGTTTAGGCACAGACAAGGGAAACAAAACTTTTATTTCCTTAGTCAATGGTTTAGGGTAGGTCAATATTAGTATTGTTGTAACTATAAAGTAAAGTATAAAAGACATGCTCACTAGAGTTACCATAACTATACAAGCCCTCGTACAAGGAATACATAAACAGTTTGTGTGTTTGGTTAGAAGACGATACAATTAAGCAATATAGAATGCAATGCATAAGTGATGACGTTAAAAGTAGGCTAAGTACCTAGTTTGAAATTGAAACAAAACTTAGACTACTAAGATTCACATATAAAACCTTTGTTAAAAATAAACTAAAATATAATTTTTTTAGCTTTCTGTGGCAACAGTTATAATAATTGTTTAGCAGTTTGCGAAATTGTTTTTGACAACAGTATGCAGTCTTAGTTGTTGGATTAAATAAATTCCTAGATTGCTGTAAATACCTACGTTTTAAGTTAAACACAAGCTACAATACCCAAAATCATTTAAGTTATGAAATCTACTTTAACATTATTATTAAATATTTAACAACAAATATCACTATGTCAATTAAAGGGGTGTTAGTGTGTGAACGTATGTCCAGTTATTACAATACCACAAAGAAGTAAACCCTTCTAACAAACTCCTGATGTGTGCTCCAGAATAAAACCTCTTGTAACCGTTACAAGCCTCATTAACGCTGATCTCCTGATTGATGAAACACAAGGATCGCTCTATCTTGTGTGGGGGATCTGCGTCTTGTATGCTAATCTTACTGTGGATTTGTATTACATACACGTGGAATGTATAAAGGAGAAAAACTAGGTGTATATTCGTCTAATATTATAAGTGAGAAAGTTTGGATTTATGTATGGATGGGTGGATAAATGGATGGATGGATAGATGTTTGTGACAAGTAAACGCGAAAAATACTGGTCGGATTGTGCTGAAATTTGGTTTGATGATAGATCACATTCCCAATTAACATATAGACGCATCCTTATCTCAAAAATCCTTTCGGGCTCCGCCCCAGTGGCTCTGGAGATTACCATGTCAACCTTGTGAGTATTCATATTTAAAAGGAATAAAATAATTTCTTCAGCTGTTTCACCTACCTGGTTCAGCTGGTTGGTTCTATGATACTAAATAGCATTAAAAGTTATAAGGTTTACCAACAGAATGCAGCACTTTTAATTTTTTGCATTTATGACAACATCTAATTGGAACCAACTAACAACAAAAAGCTGTGAAAATTAGAATTTCACTTTTTTTGTTTAGGTGCAGTGGTAGAATGGTTATGGTAGATGTGTTATACTATAGCTTACCGTGAATTAAAAGAACCAAATTTTCTTAAACCGTGTCCTCTCCCATTGCAAACGCAAAGCACGAGTATAACTGCAATATACGCCAACCACGTGCGATGGAACTCTGATAGTATTACAATAATTTAGCTTGTATGAAAAGGGCATTAGTGTTGTACACAAGTAGGTAATGTGCCAAGGACCTATCATGGCCATAATAACATTTTTATTTTTATGTCTGTACCTCAGTTTTTGGGTGTGGCTACGGGAGGCGAATATTGATATCCAAGGCAACCTGAAGAAAATTCCATTTTCACGTTTCTCAAGTTCTTTCAATTTTAAACTTGAAAAAAGAAAAAATATATATTTTGTAAAATTTAGTACAATTATTTACCATCTGCTTAGCACCAATTATAGAAACTGTATTTGTATGACTTGCGTATTACACTGTAGTTTCAAATGTACCATTTTATTGTTTTAATTTCCGTGGTCGTAATGTTCGTGTTTAAGGTGGTTCGTAAAAGGGTGGATAAAAGCTACTATACACATGAAATTCGTTGGAATCTAGTACTATATCCACAGTTAGGGAAATTGTGACACATGGATAGTTTTTTTTAGTTAATTTTTTATGGCTTTATTTTACATTTGCGTTGATTTCCTTTCAGCACTTTTGCCCCTAAATTCTTTAATTTTTCTGTACGCTTTGTGAACACGTATGTTTATTGTTAACAAGTTTTTGCACTGGTGAAAAGATAAGATAGATCACTTCAGAGAGTAGCATCAAATCATTGTGTCATACTCTCTCAAAGCTATACTGTCTCTAACAAGGTCCTTCCAATTTAGAGGCTGATCAACAAGTAGTAATAAACACCCTTTGATCTCTCACGTCATTAGAAGATTAAACCGTCTGTTCATCAGTCGATACACCAATTTGTAATAGACTACTGTCGATGCACCTTTACTGCAAAACAGGATTTCAAATGGTTCTTAATAGGATTTGTACATTTATTTGAGTTTGCGGCAAACGTAAACTTAATTGAGAAATCAATCAGCCATAGAGAAACATACAATATCATTGATACAAAAAAAATAACTATCGATAGAGTTAAGGATTTAACTATTCATAAACGTAAGTAAAATTGCAATAAACCGTTTTTAAACTAGCCGTTTCAGTTCGTAGAACTGTAAAGATTCACTTAACAGCATTGTTTTAGTTAATAACACGAGTAACGGACCAAGGCAACTCTAAATAAACCGGACCAGGAGGTTCAAGAAGTAGAGAAGAAGTAAAATTGTCATGCTTCGAACTTCAACTAAGCAGCTGTTTACTAATGTAACTGTAAATGATCGGAGCAATTAGTGGTGTGTACAACTAGTCGTTGCATCACTATCAGTGGCAATGAGAGGATTTAAACGAAAACATAACCTCTTTTAGTAGATATTGTTAGTAATTAAACACGTTCGTAGTGTACGCACTCATGTAGATAGTCTTAACGACACTCGTAGACACTATCTTTACGCAATCATTGCGTAAACTACTATTCTTGTAAGAGGTTGTAAGAGGTTAAAAACACAATTCTCAAAGGCCTTGTATTTATACAGTAAAGGCAAATGAACTTTGGGACAGAGAAAATCTAATCAGGCTTTACCTTCCCCAGGGAACAAAAAATACTATTCTGCTGTGAATTTAAATGCCATCTTATTTATTTGTGTATGTTACACTCGTAGTTTTGTATTCCATTTAATTTGATGTTATGCATTCAGTTTTATAAATTAAGATGATGTTCGGTGATGTCATATCAGTACTGTATTTAGGTATAACTATTCTGAACCCCTATCAAGCCATCAAGTAAATCTTACATGACAAATATTAAAGCAGTGGAAAAGAAACCGAACCAAGAGGTTTAATTAATTGCAGTTAATAAAATGACTTTCTTCTTTATTCCACACATATCTTGGGTTTACACGTTTACCCCCAACAAGGTGAGTTAATTAAGATTAATAAAATAACAACTCTGCCAATATTAAGTGAGTTTAACACTTTTGAAAGTTACTTTAGGTCAAACACATATAGTGTTATTTTTAATGCAATTAGTCTTTAATAATACACGTCGGGTTGTGAGAAAACTATCCTATACTCTTATATGAGCAATATTTGTATGTATGCTTGACAAATCTCCCGAAAACTGCTTCGACTGTATACTGATGTGCAATTGAAAATACTGTATACTGATGTGCAATTGAAAATACTGTATACTGATGTGCAATTGAAAATACTGTATACTAATGTGCAATTGAAAATACTGTATACTAATGTGCAACTGAAAATACTGTATACTAATGTGCAACTGAAAATACTGTATACTGATGTGCAATTGAAAATACTGTATACTGATGTGCTACTAAAAAACACTGTATACTGATGTGCAATTGAAAATACTGTATACTGATGTGCAACTAAATATAATGTATACCCATGTGCAACTGAAAAAACTGTATTCTAATGTGCAACTGAAAATACTGTATACTGATATGCAACTGAAAATACTGCATACTGATGTGCAATAAATACAGGGACTGAATAATAAGTACACTTAATCGGTTGAACAAATTTTAATGCAATAGGTTTTTCACAGTAAAAGGCACTATTCTACTCATCTGCTTTATTTTCCGAAAATTTCTTTTGTATTCCATCTTTGACTGCGTTTAGAGCAGCTTCCTGGGCTTTTTCTACTACGTAACCGGCAGCGTAACTGGCACCTTCCTGAGTTTTTTGTACTGCGTAACCCGCAGCTTCCTGAGTTTTGCCTACTCCGTAATTAATAATTCTGTATCCAACTACTGCCCCAGCAATTGGTGGAAATACATATGCTGCCGTCAAACCCAGGTTAGCAATTCCAGCAGCTTTCACGAAACCACCAGCCAAATCCATAACACCTTTTCCTTCTGAAACCACAATACAATATAAAATGTAATGTTATCAATATCACTTCCATTGATAAATTCATGCGCTACCTAGGCCTATACGTTTTTATAAAGGCCGCACGAGGTGAGCCCTCACATTTTTACTTTCTCCCCACTTACATAGTATATGGAGAAGGTATTGTTTTCTTCGAAATTTTTGAGTTTGAGTTTTGGGTGTAAATATACGTTTTGAGTAGTCCTGAGCCTAAAGATTTGTTGTGTGTGTGTGTGTGCGTGTGTGTGTGTGTGTGTGCGTGTGTGTGTGTGTGGGTGTGTGTTTGTTGGTGTAAGGGCGATAGCGGACACTAGGGATTGTATAATCTTATTTTTTAGCAGATGCTCGACTAATTTATATGAACACTAACAGAATACCCGTCCTTCGTACGGAGTTGGGGTAGAAGAATAAAATGCTTACCTACTGTACTTGTGCTTTGCGTTGGCAATGGGAGAGGACATGGTTTGAATGAATTTGGTACTTTTAAATTTGCTGTATGATATCGTAAAACACATCTACTACAGACATGATGTTCTACCACTACACCCAAACAAAAAAAGTAAATTATCGAATTTGCACACAATATCAAAAGATTATTTATAAATTAAACACATCAACTTAACTGTAAACGATCCTACTTTGACAGTTCTCATTGTGTATCACAGCTTTATGTCGCTGCGTGGTTTAAATTAACTAACTGTTAATGCAATAATTCATAAATAAAAAACTGTTTTAAAACAAAACGTTTTTTAATGCACTAGAAAAAAGAAAATAATTTATAAATATGTGGAGAGTATAAATACTTGTAAGATTTAAAACGAAAAACGTGGGGTGCATGCAATAGATAACTTACAATTACCTTCACCTATTGAACTAAAGTATTATTATCAATGTTGCATGCACCCCACGTTTTTCGTTTTAATCTTACAAGTATTTATACTCTCCACATATTTATAAACTACTAGCTGTACCCGCGGGCTTCGCCCCGTTTAACTTCATAAGCATTCGCATGGCTCATTCACGTCCTGGTTGAAGTTCGTTCGCTACGCTCACTCACCTTTAGGTTGGAGCCCGTTCGCTGCGCTCACTTGCCTTCAGGTTAGCTCGTTCGCTACGCTAACTCGCCTCCAGGTTGAAGTTCGTTCGCTACACTCACTCACCTTTTGGTTGCAAATTAGCTGTTGTCATAAATAACAAAAAATAATAGTGCTGCACCCTGTTGGTAATCCTTGTAACTTTTATGCTATTGAACATCATAGAACAGAACCAACTTGTTTAATTGAAACAGCTGTTAAGATTCATTAATTCCTTTTAAATATGAAAAATCATAAGATTAACATGGGGAACTACAGAGCCACTGCGGCGGAGCCCGAAAGGGTTTTTGAGATAAGAATATGCTTTAATGTTAATCGGAAATGTGAGCTATCATCATGCCAAATTTCAGCCCAATCCGTCCAGTAGTTTATGCGTGATTAAGCAACACACACACACACACACAAACATACACACAAACTCACAAACTTTCAGATTTATAATATTAGTAAGATTTTCTACTTTTTAGTTTTTAATGTGTGTGGATGTTAAATATATTTCAATCATCTATATCAGATTAAGACAGAGGCATGTGGGAAATCTACGGTTTATTTAAGTTTCTTTTCATATAATTATGTATTAGATTGAATGTATGGCCTACCTACTAAACTATAAATATAGCGATCTATTTAATTTATTGTTTACTTTATGGGATCTATATAAATAAAATTACAGTTTTGTCTGTACATTGCTTAGAATCATGCAGTTTTTGGTTATTTTTACGTTTCATAGCCTAAGAAAGCCGAAACGAGTCTTATCTCAATTTCTGTCTGTATATCTGTCTGTCCATTCTGTGACTCTGTCTGTAACGCCAAATTGTCATTTTACGTGGCCTACTCCTAGGAAACTAGAGTACCGATCAAGGTTCTAATCATTTTTCTGTATTTACTGGATTGGTGAGAGTGTCTTGGGCCATAAAAACATGGCCTCGCTTCTTTGAAAAGAAAATAACAAACCATCAAAAACCCAATTTTGTTTGATTTTTGTCAAATTTTCTCCCGCATGTTTCCTATTACATTTTATGACCTAACGATCAGCTGTTTGGATTAGTTCTCACTTCTAGCTGTCACTGATATGTTTACATTAAAAGTTGTTTACAAATACCGCAACCATTTCCGATCAAGTTTTGTTAGCAGTTAGCACATCCAAACCAAGTGAGATTAGAAACGTTGTGCCTTACTTAACCTGTTTAATTAATCGCAAGTGCAACGAGTGTTCTTGAGTTTTTATAGCCGGGGAAAATACCGTGAATCAGTGTTGTATTAGTTAGTGCTGGGAAACTAATTTTTTTTCAATCGTCGTCACCAATGCTTACAAAAAGGTTTCCGCACTCATTTATGGCCATTCAAGGAAAGTTGTGTAAAGTGCAAAGTAATAAATCACAACTGCAGTGGGTGATCGTGGATGTTGCTGCGATTTTGGAAGAACTTTGAGCCGTGACTTGTCCACCAAGCGTCCCACCAATGTCACGCCTCAGTGTTTTTTGTATAGTACGAGTACTGGCTTTGCGCCGGAACTCAGTCGGTTTGGGTCGGGCAGCAATCCTGCAACCCAGAGTCAATGTCCGCCTTCTGTCACATTTTCACCAGAAGGCCGGCGATTGTCAATTTGTAAAGACTTGGGTATCTTCGATGAATATCAGTGTTAATCTTTCAATGTCACTGTTAATTTTGTTCATCCGTTCTTCGTAGACTCTAGTCATGGTTTAAGTGTTTTGCCAGACGTCAGATGAGTAAGTTGATTGATTATTTTTGATTTGTTTAGGTTAGAAAGTTTCTGAATTAGTCTTGGCTTTCAGCCACATGTTGTGCAGACTTTGAGTGGGTTTTGGCTAGTGAAAAACAAGTATTAAGCACCTTCTGTGCATTGGTATTACTTTTATTTACCAATTACTTGTTTTTCAAGGCGCTAGACCCATTTCTGAGGCTGGAATTGAACAGAGTTTTGTTGGGCCTTTGGCCAAGTTTTGTGTGGTCAGACCACAAGTTTTCCTGGTTAGTTTAGTAGTTTTTGTTGTTGTCAAGTTTTCAAAGCTTTCCCCGAGACTCTAGGCCAGATATTACCCAAGAAAACTGCTTTTGAAACTCACTTTTGTGCGGGCTATGGTCCGTTTTGTTCTTTGTCCCTGTTAACTTATTATTAGGCCTAAGGCCTAGTTTGTGCTCAAATTTTGTTTTGTTATTGTGGCCTACAACTTGTTTAATGTAAATTTTGTCCCTTTGTCCCCTGTAAAAGTGTTTTTTGTTATTTGTATTGTAGGCCATGTCACTCAGCCTAATTTTTTTTAGTTAAGTAATGGCACCTCCTGGGGGCCAAGCTCGGTCATAATTAGTTAGTTTTAGTGCTCTTACATGTCCCCTGCAAGTTTGAATTAGTTTGATTGATAAATGACCGAGTTATAAGGTTTTTAGTTTAGCGCAATTCTGTTTTCTGAGTGACCGTAGGTAACTGACCCCCTACCTGGCCTCAGGCTAGTTGGTAGGCATGGGTTTGTCTTTTAAAAGCTGCGGGCACTTGTGCCACAGCTTTTAAAAGCAGTTTGAGCAAATTTGGTTGGTAATCACCGGAGTTATTACCGGTTTTACCTGAAAATGCACCTCCAGCCAAAGAATTTTTAATATTTTGTGTAAACTGTTTTTTGAAGTATTTATTGTAGTATTTATGTAATTGTTTTGTGTTTTACTAGTGTATATTACCCTTCTGGACCCTAAATTCATATTTTTTATTGTCAACTTAAATTTTTATGAAAAATGTCTGTAAGAATGTGTTGTTAAAGTTTGTTAAATTTAAAAGTCTATTTATTGTTATGTTTTAGAGCTCTATTGAACTGAACTAAATTATTTCTAGTCATTTTACATTTTCTAATTTTAAAGACAGTTTTTAAATGAAAGCCTATATTTAAAGGAAGAAAATTTTTTTATAAATCTCTTTTTCAACAAGTTTGGTCAATGATGAGTGGTGCGGAAATCATGTTCTTTTTGGATTTATTGATGGAAGAGCTTGGTAGGCCTAATGTTATCAAGTTTATATGGACTTTTATTAGTTAGGCTTGGAATGTGTTCAAAGGGTCCCAGATGTGAGGCTTCACCTGCCGCTGTCCTCGGAGAGGTTCGCCCGGAGGGGCACTACATCTTCTACCTCCTTGGGCTGCCAACGGCCCAGCATCTCCGGGGACCACTATGCCTCCATCTTCCAGTATGGACCACTAAGCCACCCACCGCCTGCCACCGTCAAGGAATCTTGTGCCACTTTTCCGCAAGTTATACTGTAGAATATCTAAATTATGAACATTTTTAAAGGACTGTTTTTAAGGGGCCCCAAAATGATTGATTATCCATTCTAGTATTTCATAGGAACTGTTATTTATTTGATTGTTATTTATTTTTATAGTATCCAAATTTTTATTTATTGCTTGTTAATTTATTTAAAGTTTAATATAACCGTACAATCCTATTTAATTATTGTTAGGCCTAACATCCACAGTTACCACTAAATTTGTAAGTTCAGGAGGGTAAAGTTTTGAGGAAGCTTAAAGTATTTAAATATTTTTGATAAAATAATTCTTTGGATGGCTGCTTTGTTGTTTATTGTTGATTGTTTTTATTGTTGAATTTTGAGATTAATTATAGGCTTTGTTGACAACTGTTTGTTTTGTTTTTGATATTCACCCACGGCCTTTCACTTTTGTTAGGGATGTGGGGCGGCCACTCGCACTGTCACTATGGGGGGCATGCTTCCAATAGTTGTTCGTCTGGGGGCGGTGCGAGGGGTCGGCTCAACTTTCTGATTTCACTGTGATCGTAACAGAGGTTTAACTTACAGATGTAGCTAAACTCGCTTTTCCTAAGTGTCATTTTTGTTTCTACTTACTTACATTTCGACAACGATATCGGTACATTTTTTCTACTTAGGAAGTAAAACTACAAACGTCCAAAACCCCAGATTTGTGAGTTTTCCTTCACATTTCCTCCGAATGTTTGCTAGATATATGTATCGATTATCATTAGAGATTACGTAATATTTTATAAGAAACCTTTGTTTGGATAAAGGTGGTTTCTTCAAACTGTTATTAATATGTTAACATTAAAAGTTGCTTACAAATAATGCTATTAATGGGAAATAACTTTGATTTTCGAAAACTTAAAAAAAATAAAACCAAGTGAGATTATAATAACTACGGTACTGCACCACATCAAGTGAACGTTTTTTTGAGAAAACCATGGGGAGTTTTTAAAGCCTGTGGATTTATTTATTTATATATTTGCCAACGGATTAACACAAATAATACAGGTTGATTACATGGACAGTTTGAATTGTTCTTAAGTACTATAGTTCTTTTCATAAATGTAAACGTTGGTTTATGGTACTGCTACTTTTCCTTAGAACCGGTGGTAGCAGTAAGAATCATTTTTACGTACAAACACATCACTATTTACAACTATAGTTATCGTTAGTGCTGCACCTTATTTTTTATTAAATTTAATTGATGTCTTACTGTATAGTTTTTGCGTTTTCTGTCTGGACTCCAAAATATTAGTTTATCCTATGAAAATGATCAAATATTAGTGAAAGATTTTTTTAGCAAACCATCATAATTTTTTATAGCTTGGCGTTGTTAACGTATAAATGTTTTGTAGAATGTGTATTTATTTACTTATTTATTTATTTGCCAAAGGATTTACACCAATTTTACAGTTTGAAAAATCCATTATCATAAAATTTGATGACAATATCAACACTTTCAAATAATTATTTTGTTTGTAGACTACTTTGCTTTGGTTAAAGCGTAGCAAATCCCTTAATTCAATTCTGTATTTGTGTGTGTATGTCTGTTGGTAACGCATTAATGTCTTTATTTCTCAGTGTTTCGTGGAAAAGACAAGATCACCTTTGTTAATGAAAATTTCAACCCGAATAAAGTGTGCAGTAGTGAGGCTGAGGTGGTATTTTCAGTGTGAAAAGTAACTTTCAATTACAGGCCTACCTTAGGGCTATGCTTCATATATCTATAAAGCAAGTCCTTTTATCATTAGATATAATATATGGACTAACACGATCGGGTGACATTTAATTGCGAAGCATTCGTTTTGGCTTTGAAACTGTCAGATATTGTATTTGCGAAGATTTATAAGTATTTCTATACAGTAGTAGTTTTAACAGCATATCTGGAAAAATGCACACTAAATATGCAAACCAACTCCTGTTCTGAATATAAGGTTTCAACTTACTACAAGATTCCCGTACGTAGAACGGGCAAACAGCTAGTACTTAATAAATAACAATTTACATTATTAACAAACACAATTATATCTGCAATCAGATTGTTTATCTTTATTTTGAAATGTTTGTTTGTATAAAGAATCTCTTGGGAGCATAATCAAGGCCCCACTAGAAAAAACTTTTTCTAGTGGGGCCTTGGCATAACCTGTACGCTGCCAAACGCTCCTCTTAACTAACCTCTGCTCTTCCAACGGTCAAATTTAAGTATTAACAGCTGACTTAAATTAATTGATATATTTACATTCTTTCAAAATGTAAACGTGGAAAATTTTGAAGCCGATGGGGCGTAGCCCAAGGGAAATGTGAGAATTAAATGATATAATATTGCATTGTCATCCATTTGTGAGCTATGTTTCAAGTTTCAAGTCTCTAGCTGATCAGGAGGTTACTATAAAATTTATTGGAAAATTTGTACCGGACGAGAAAGCGAGCTAATAAAAACGTTTTAATAATAAAAACGTTTTAAAAATAGCTTATTCTCTATGGTAAATTCACTAAAATGAATAGTGCTGCGCCCTGTTGGTAAATCTTATAACATTTTAATGATATTGAATATCATAGAACTAAGTTGTGTAGTTGAAACAACTGACAAAATTCTTTAATAATTCTTTACGACTAAAACAATTACGTACGTCATTAAAGAAATTTGGTTTTTCTTTTCCCAGTTCGCTTGGCTCTTCTACCCGACCGATTTTCATAATTGAGGTTTCAAATTGAAGGCATGCACCCAAAAATTCACATCAAGCATCGGCATATGTTTACCTACTGTACTGTGTTTTATTTTCAAATTCTTGCTTAAATTTAAGATGTATTTCACTAGTTATTATTATATAATCATACATACTTTGGTCTAAGAACCTTCAGTGAAATACCGACTTTCATTTAAGCTATTCGTTATTCAAATCGGACGAGTTTCAAGCATACGCAAGGTAAACAACCAACATAAAAATTATGTTTTATAAGGCCTTTTTTTTTCTATGATTAAAAATTAATAGCTCCAATATTGTTTATGTTTTTGATATTCAGACTCAAAATAATCAGTAAATTATAGGCTTTAATTTTAGCTATTGATCGTTTGAATCAGTTAAGCTCAATTTACTCAATGAAAAAACATAATTTGGATTATTTCTCGGATCTTGTATTTATTTTAACGCTGCGGAGCAGCATGGGTCCTCTAGTATTATTTATATATTCTTAGCTTTACTGTACTTTCGCTAACGGTTTTTTTCTGGGTTGTGTCTAGAATCGTGAGGGAATCAAGAATATCGTTGGAGTTGGGTTTTGCTTTAGGTGTTTGGATACCTTTGTTGTAGTTCACCGTTAAGGTCCGATAATCCTGCGCTATACTCACGGTCACAGTGATGAACACTCAGGAAAATCATATGCTCAAATATTTTGTTATAGTAGAGTTATGTCTAAAACAGTTTGGTTACTTACCAATCGATCGATAGGGAGGACGTGTCTCGTCATTCTTGAGTGGAAGGTCATTTGGTGCACCTTTGGTTTCGTAAGAACCCTGAAAAATTAGAAAGTCTCTAGTATACAAATTGTTTAAGTAACGGTTCTGTACGAACGTTGTACTCTTTGTACATTTATTACACACCATGACTCTAATAGAGGGGCATCACGTGTGCAGTATCATACAAAATCAGCTATTTAAGTATTTTTTATATATTTTATCCAGGGGGTGACTGCGCTCTTTAATGTGTAGAAGCACCCTGACGGTTATAATATGACATCAGTAAACATGCAAGAGAAAACAAATAAGAAAACAATACTTTCGTGCATTTTACCAGATACTCAAGTCGTTTTCGAGATATAAACATTTTAAAACAATATTATGGACAAAAACAATTTCAAGGTGTGAAAAAATTTCAAAATATCTGGACTTTGAAAATTTTCGTGGTAACTGTTATTTGTACCCCTATTAAAATATTGTAAATGTGTTTTCCAATTTTTTTGATTTTTTATTTATGTTGTATTCTTGTTTATAATCAAAAGTTGATACCCAAGTAATGTGCCAGAATTTTAACCGTCTTGCCTTATCTCAAGCCATTTTCGAGATACGGTATAAATATTTATATCAATAAAGCAGTGCCACACCAGTAGTGCATGGAGATTGGAACCTTTGCCAACACCGACATTATATTACAGTGCATTGACATACAAATGAAACTGTTGAATTTATTTAATAAATGGTACCTATATAAAATAATGTTTAAAAATTGGCAAGATTAAAGACGAATTAGATGGTCATATGTAAATATTATGGTTTAAGCCCATACACACGCCATATATATGTGGGTGGTTTGTATTCTTATGTTCCTTTAAAATTGTTAGAAGGACACAAGTAAGCCTTAGAGGTTAAGAAAGTGAATGGAGTAAACGGTGCTATTGTTAAACATCTCCTTGGACACTAACATTATTTAAACTATCTTGCAACTGGGCAAGATTACTATGATGCTGTCACAAGAATTAAATCTACAGACCACCACCTTAAAACCTTAACTATGAATAAAAAAGTAATATCTTTAGATGATGAGAAGAGGTTTATTCTTGAAGATTGCATCAATTCAATACTCTTGTTCTTGGTCAGTATTTGCCATTATTCTTTAGACTTTCCTTGTCTATTATGAAAAAGCCATATTTAGTTTTATCCCAACATCAGTGGATAAGATTTATAAATTGGTTAAATTAAACATCAATAGCAACATAATTGTTATATACACATGTTTTGAAATTTAAATCGTCCTGCTTGGATAATATTAGGAAATTTACATTATCACGTAAATGTTTGTGTAGTTTGCTGCAAGATTGACCCAAGTAAAAACAGTAAATATTTTTATGTCGACCCATTGAAAAAATTGTGTAATATTCAGACTATTCATGTCGTCAAATACAACAACTGACTGTGACTGTGATGGGAATTTTTGTGTACTTCATCACACAAATTTTACACAATTTTCACAAATGTCACACAAATTGTGAATGTCACTATGAATGTGATGTGAATTTGTGTGTACTTCGTTCGTCACACACGTTTTCAAAAAAATTTTTAATAAATTTCACACAATTTGTGTAACATTATAAACAATAATAGCCTACAACATAAAAAAATCTAAAAATTTAACATTATTTTATATGGGTACAAATAACAGTTACCATGAAAATTTCAAAGTCCAGACTTTTTGACATTTTTCCACACCTCGAAATTTATTGATTTAAAATGTTTATACTGTATCTCGAAAATGGCTTGAGATAAGGCAAAACGGTTAAAATTCTGGCACATTACTTGGGTATCAACTTTTTATTATAAACAAGAATACGACATAAAAATTAAAAAAAATAGGAAAACAAATTTACAATATTTTAATATGGGTGCAAATAACAATTACCTCGAAAATTTTCAAATTCCAGATATTTTGACATTTTTCCACACCTTGATAAATTTAGTTTTAGTCCATAATAAGATTGTTTGAAAATGCTTATATCTCGAAAACGGCTTGAGATACGGCAAAACGGTCGAAATTCTGGTACACTATGTGGGTGTCAACTTTTGATTATAAACAATATTACAACATAAAAAATCTAAAAAACTAAAAGGAAAACATTATTTCATATGGGTATGTGGGTATATGAGGTCATATGGGTATATGAGTAATGCAAAAAAGTTGGGTTTAGAAAATATATGGAGATTGGAAATAATTTATGGAGTTGGACATTTGTATAGGGATGTATAGGTAAAGATCAGGATTTTTTTAAAGTGGATAAAAATGATTCCCATGTTATTTTTATGGGAAAACGCCTAAAGTGGCTTATCTTTCTTGTATCACCACTACTAGAAGCGAACACAAGGGCAGACAAAAAAATTACCGATACAAATTAATACATTAAGGTTTTCCAACCACGATGAATAAATAGAACCTTAAAGTGTAGATTTTTGACCTTTGTCATCATGTTAAACTAGCTTGGTGAAATAATTAGACACGCTGCAGTAAGAAAAAAATTAAATCTGAAAAATTGTTTTTGCTTTCCATTTTACTGGTTTTAAACGGTTTTACTTAAGCTACTTTAGTCAAAACTACCATTATAAATGCTATTATAAAATATACCATCCAATAATTCAACCCGTACAACTGAAAAAATTGTATTGGCTTCACAACAACACACTCCAGTCAGAACTACCGATATAAATCCTAATATAAGTTATACCATCCAATAATTCAACCCGTACAACTGTATGGACCATAAATTTGAGGATTAATCAAGAATCAAGGGTTGTGAGGAGAAACTGATTATTAAAAAAAAAAAAACAAAGAACCAAGAAAAATATCTAGTCTGGTAAAAGGTGAAGAAGGCTGGAAATCAGAAAAACAGAGAATAAATTTACCCAGATCTTTTAGCTCAGACTTAAACTATAAGGCCGAGATGGACAAGACGTGTATGGAGGTAGCATACTACTTCCATTATTAAAATATGGAGAAACACAGCATAAAACAGTATATCGCTTGACACTCCGAGGCTGAAATAAGAACTAAAGAGCTAAATTATATTGAAACACTTGGACAACACTTGAAGTAGCGAAGAATAGAGAAGAATGAAGGGTCGCCGTTCTGCTTTTGTTTCATCTAATGTTAGGTAAGGTAAGCCATAATCTATCGATATAAATTAAAATTTAAACATTAACTATAAGATTAAACTGTAAGATTATGGAGTGTCCAAAAAAAAAAAAAATTAATTCAGTACACATAAATCAATGACAAAAGGAAAATTATGGATAGGTAGTAATAATTTCAATTCATCCCAAGATTTCATTAACAGTAAAAAGTTTTCCTTTTTTTCACATTTAATCTTCTATGAACAACTTTTCTTTTTCTCTAACTATCTAAATTCGTATTAAAATTTAAACTACAAGATTATGGAGTGTCTAAAAAAATATTAATTTAGTACATATAAATTAATGACAAAAGAAAAATTATAGGAAACTTAAATATATGGATGTAATATTTACCAAGATCAAAATGAAAGAAGAAACTAGAACCAAACGAATCATTTTGGTTGGTGGCTCCAAGACTTGTACACTAGTAAATGTTTTAAATTTTAGGTTGAAAGTTTTTACCAATTTGCGCACAAACACTTGTGTTTAATCAAACTAATCATTTTATCATTTATTAACTGTCATGTTAATTGCTGTTCTGTAATTTGCAAGCAGCATGGCTGCTTAAACTATAACTTTTAGACTTTTCGTACAAAAATAAATTTAACAAATAAAGATGTAAAAACATGTTTGTTGATTTCACTTTAATTTTACTAATACAAATTACAAAAGTAAATGAAAATATCCTATTAATCAATCAAACTGATCTGTTAATTACTGTTCAACCATTAGAAAAATATGTCAGTTTCAACTGCCTGACTCTCTTAAATTTTTTATAAAAATTAAATTTAAAAAGTGAAGTAAAAACATAGAATACTAGCCATTGTCCGTCGGCTTTGTCTGACATACCGGTACTGTACTTTTTGGGGTTTTTAAAACCATAAGCTAATTGAAGTTTTGACTTCGCTACGGAACTACTTCCTCTATAGTATCCATCATCTATTTCCTTTCACTTATAACTAGTAGCTCGCTTATTCTGATCGTAACGGGATGACTGAGCGTAAGCGTAACAATGGGCGAATCCACCTGGCACATACCCGGCACATATTAATGGGCGAGTCCACCCGACACATATTAATGGGCGAGTCCACCCGCACTTACCGGTGTCACTGGTGAACACGATGCTATTTGTATGAGCAAATCCACCATATCTCAGTTAACAAATTCAATCATAACTTCTTGCCCATTAACCGAAGTAATTGGAAAAAATTGTGGTGGATTTCCAACAATTATAGGTAGGGTGTAAATCCAGTTGCGTCCAGACGTCTATGAGGAAGGACACTTTTCAGTGAACCGGTCATCTGCCAGTCTCAGGCCGCAACCTGATATGTATCTACCAATTAGGTTAACTGTGCTAAACTTGTATTCAATTCGTTCACATTAATTTATAAATTTACTTCGTTATTGTTATTTATAAACTATTATGGTGTTTACGTGTGGGCAGTGTAGAGGTGACGTTGTGCAGAGTGACCTGTCAGTGAAATGCGTTGAGTGCAAGACGGGATATCATCCAGCGTAGGAAGTGCGATGTCTAGAATAGACAATTTGACTGCATAACACATTCAACAACAAAGTCTCTTCTTTGGAGCAAACCCAGTCAGCTTTACAGGAACGCTGCAGTGAGTTGGAAAAAGCAAACGACAAGGTTAGGTTATGTTAGAATAGGACATTTCTGTCCTGATCTAAACAATTTTGCCGCACAGTTATGTTTGATCTCATCGAAAACACGACGCAGCAATTCGGTGCGTCCTACACCCGCTAATCGGGAATGTGAGCTATCACCATACCAAATTTCAGCCCAATCCAACGAATTAATAATGCGTGATTGAACTTCAAACAAACAAAAAAACGCTCAAACTTTCACATTAATAATATTAGTAAGACATGAAATAATGAATCGAGTATTCTCGTAAGAAATTAACTACCCACACAAACATTTTTTTTCCATTGACTACTATAAAAAGCATATTTATTTTCTCGTTTACATTTAACACAAAACATTATTAAAACAATTCAGTTATGGTTGTAGTTTATTATGCACAATGTTTTTGCTCTATTATTCATGTTTACGAATGTTTAGAGGATCAAACTGTAAAAACTAAATGATTTGTATGAAATTTATCATTCCTAGCAGGGTGCTGCTACGTTCCCACGTTAACACTTAGGATGAGTATTTTTTGTTTACTACAGATTTGGTTTAAATAAATTTGTACTATGATTGACATTAAATATTATCTAAGAAAACCTAACCCGAGGCAAGCAAAATCTTATAAAATAGAAGCTTTTGGTCCTTTAAAGAGAAAACAATTTTGTTCAACAATTCGCTGCTCTTCATTCTTTGTTCCAGGCAATGGAACGCCATTAACACAAATTACCGAAACCTTTTTCGGAACCATTGTCTAAAATACCTCACATATTGACCAGGTATAAGTATATATCCTACTATATAGTTATACCTATCTTTACTGCACGTTGAGATAAAACATGAATGTATTTAAATACAAATAACCACATTATGTATTACTTTTATCTGTTATGTATTTCCTACATACACATTACATACACATATACATACACATACATTACATACACATACATTACATACACATACACATACATACACATTTCCTACATACACATTATGTATTTCCTACTTTATCTGTATGAAAATCAATTGTTGAAAAATTGCCCCCAAAAGCCAAAAATATTCATTAATTTTATTCAACAATAATAATCATGGCAAATAATTGTATTAAAAATATTTAAATTTAATTAGGAATAAAATTAGTGGCTAATAAGAAATACTCTACAACTAACAATAATAACAATACTAATAAATACAATAATATATTTAAAATGAAATATACAAGTGGTCATAAATATTAAAAATAATATTATAAATATTATTATATATCTCGTACTAAATTCTAGTAAAACCAAATTAATGGAATTTTATAACAGAAAGAAGGCTGAACCACCTCCGATATTGACCTAGGACGGGGTGCCCCTTGACACCTGTAGTGAAACCAAATACTTGGGCCTACACGTTACGGAGAACCATTATTGAAACACTAGCAACAGATCCCGTTGTGGTTAAATACAACGGCCTCTAGTAAAATAATGGTTGTGAAATCCATACACCACTTTACTCACTAATATTAATGCTGCAGATTAAGCACATAACATTAGAACCGCTTATTTAACATAAGGAACTCACTTTAACACAAATGCAAATTGTTAACAAAAACATTTAATCAACGAAAAATCAATTAAATAACAATATAACAATAAGCTGTTCAATTATTAACACATATTTCGTATGTTTAGATTATGCATACTGGTAAACCAATTATTGCCATCTATAAAAATTATTGGTTTTTCTTTTCTGAGTCGGGTTAAAGATCTTCTACCCGTCTGATTTTCATAATTTTGGCCTTAAACTAAAGGTATGGGCGCACAACAGATTTGCAATCAATCATCGGCATTCATTTTGACATATATTTCCAGTTATGCACAAAATGCGTCCCTGTACATTCCTTAAGGGAGTTAAATTTGTTTTTTTAGTTCGTTTGGCTCTTCTACCAGCGTGATTTTCATAATTTTGGTCTTAAAATAAAGCTATGCAAGCATATATTTGTCATCAAGCATCATTATTAATTTATCTAATGTATTACTCAACGAAAAAATAAAAATTGTATTTGTTTGATTTGTTAAAAAACCTTTAGTGAAATATCAGCTTTCATTTGAGCTATTGATTATTAAGATTCCAATCTTAATAATCCTACTTAAAGCACACTGCTGAATCACGAATCAACAATAATTATAATCGTTTAGGTAGGCTACTTATCTGCAATCAATGATATGTAACTCAAATTTTATTTATGTTATTTTATATGTCTTGGTCCTGTGATACTTCAAAGGCTTTTACTTGAGATATTGATAGTTTTAATCAGTTAAGTTAAAGATATCCTGAATCGCTCAATCAGAAAACATAAATTTTATTATATCTTGGATATGGAATTCAGTTTTATATATATTTACTCAATTCTAATTACGTTATTCTATTTGCTTTGACCTAAGAACCTTCAGTGAAATACCAGCTTCCCTTTCACTTATTGATTATTAAGATCGGGCGTACCTAAAGCACACTGCTAAATCACGAACAACCCAAGTTTTTCAAAAAATGGAGTTCTTTTATCGTCGATTTATAGTCAAACGGTCTTGCTTACAACCTCAACAGCAACTGTCAGACTTTGACGGGTTTCACTTAGTAAATAAAAACAAATCAAACTTTCATAACTATTTGCAAATCTACACGAATTAGGCTTTCCAATGACCTATTATTTAATAACATCGGTTCAGTAGAGTTGTAGATTTAATTGTACAAAATCTTTAGTTCAGTATTTTCTCACCATTATAAACTGGGAGTTGCTTAACGTTTTTTCAAATAACTTTCAAATGGTGAGGAAATCGACCAAAGTGGAAGGTAATATTCTGATAGAGAATAAAATTTCCTACAAATTACTATTATGTATTTCTGGAAAATACTCAATAAAGGCAGGCTAAAGTTGGCTACAAATATAAACTTGGAAAAAAAGGCGTTTTAAATGTAATATTGTTTATTTTTATTGTCTTACCTCAAATATGTAATAAAATCAAACTTTCATAATTATTTGCAAATCTACACGAATTAGGCTTTCCAACGACCCATTAAGTAACAAAAACGGTCGGGTAGAAGTCTAGATTTAGTTGTACAAAGTTTAACAAAAATACATCTAATTCAGTATTTTTTAACCGCTATAAATTTGGAGATCACTTAGATTATTGCCAATATCTTTTAAATGGAGAGGAAATCGACCAAAGTGGATGTGATATTCTGAAAGAGAATAAAAACTTCTACAAATAACCACTATGCACTTCTTGAAAATGCTTAATAAAGGCAGCCAAAAGCTGACTACAAATAGAAACTTGTAAACAGAAACTTGAAAAAAGCAGTTTTTAATGTATTTTTGTTATTTTTACTTTTTTACCACAAAGATTTAATAAAACCACACTTTCATAATTATTTGCAAATTTACATGAGTTGGGCTTTCCAATGACCCATTAATTAACAAAATCGGTACAGTAGAACTCTAGATTTAGTTGTACAAAGTTTAACAAAAATATCCCTAACTCTGTATTTTCTCATTACTATGAATTCGGAGGTTGCTTAGCTTTTTTGCAAATAACTTTAGAATGGTGAGGAAATCAACCAAAGTGGAAGGTGATATTCTGAAAGAGAATAAGATTTCCTACAAATTGATACCATATACTTCTTGGAAACACTCAAAAAGACAGCCAAAAGTCTCACCCAAATAAAAAGTGTGAAAAACACCGTTTTCAATGTATTTCTTATGGAAACATGTTTTTTTTTTTAATTTTTCACTATAAATCATAACAAAAACCAACTTTCATAATTATTTGCAAATCTA